TAATATAACAAGACTGATTTTTAAAACCACTTTCTAAGACAACCGGGCATGGTAGTGCAGGCTTTTAATTCCAGTACTCAGGAAGGCAGATGCAGGCAGGTATCTCTGAGTTTGAGGCCAGTCTGGTCTACAGAGTGAGTTCCAGGACAGCCAGGACTACACAAAGAAACCTTGTATCAAAAAAAAAAAAGAAATAAATAAAGAAAGAAAGAAATAAAGAAAGAAAGAAAAGAAAAAAAAGAAAAAAAAGAAAGAAAGAAAGAAAGAAAGGGAAAGGAAAAAGAAGAAAAGAAAAGGAAGAAGAAATACTGCTAAGGCTCCATATATTCACTTTTGGTTTGGTCTTTAGCAAAAAAAAAAAAAAAAAAAAAAAAGCCCTGATTGTGAGCTGTTTCCTGGGTTACAGACCGTACTTCACAGCCTCCCTTGCAGCTAGGTGGCTCCAAGTGATGCAGTTACAACAATGTCAGTGAAAGTGGTACAATTTTCAGGAAGTCTCTTATAAAAGAAAACAGCATCATTCTTCTCCCACCCTCCTTCCAACTACTAAGAAAGTATAATTTCTGAACCCCAAATTTTTTGTATATGAAGCAATACACAAAGGTGGAAGAGCAACAAATGAGAAGACGCCTAGGGTCCTGACACTATATTACCTATGTCAAGGATAGCTTTCTTTAGTGATTAAATACACTTGGTAATGACACTATTGAAGCCCCATTAAAGCCAAATATAACCTAAGCACACAATAAAATCAAGCAGAGGTTATACCCAAGTCTGAAAGACTAGGCCAACGTGAAAAATTTATTCATTATATCACATTCCACATGGAGAAGGGAAGTCTAAGATCATTTCAGCAGACTCCCAGCATTCAATCAAATTCAACTCGGACATTATATTTTAAAAAATATAGATAAGAATGTAGCACAGTAGTAGAGCTCTTGCCTAGCTTGTACAAAGGCCTCAGGCTTGCGTACCAGCACCAGAAAAAAAAGGAGGTGGGGGATAGAGGGTTTTCTCCCCCCACCTCCCCCCCCAAGACAGGATTTTTCTGTGTAGCCTTGGAGGTCCCAGAACTCACTCTGTAGGCCAGACTGGCCTCAAACTCAGAGATCTGCCTGCCTCTGCCTCCCGAGTGCTGGGATTAAAGGCGTGCACCACCACCAAATGACTTTCTTTCCTTCTTTCAATAATTTTTTACCTTATTTCATGTTTATGAGGTTTACTTAAATGTGCCTGGTGGCCCCCAGGGTCAGAAGAGGGCATTGAAACTGGAGCTATAGACAGTTGACAACTGTCACATAAGTTCAGGGAATAGAACTTGGGTCCTCTGCAAAAACTGCCAGTGTTCTTAACATCTGAGCCATCTTTCCAGCCCAAAGGTTTTCATTTAAAAAAACAAAACAAAACAAAACAAAAAAAACCCTTAATAGAGTAGGAACAGAAGAGAATTCCTAAAGGGAAAAAAATGGTACCCATCAAAAATTGTTACAAATGTCATCTTTAGAACGCTACCTTGGGGTCTGGAGAGATGGCTCAGTGATTAAGAGTCTGGCTGCTCTTCCAGAGGACCCAGGTTCGATTCTCATCACCCACATGGAAGACTACAACTATTTATAACTACAGCTCTAGAGATCCGACGCCCCCTTCTGGGTTCTAGGGGGTCCCACATGCATGTGGTATGCAGATACACACAAGCAGGCAAAACACCCAGACACAAAAAATAAAAATAAATAAAGTGTATCTCAAGCCCAGTGAGATGGTCCAGCAGGTAAAAGGCACTTCCTGTTGAGCCTGACATCTGATCTCTGGGACTCACAACGTGGAGGAAGAGAACCAACTCTTGGAAGCTGTCCTCTGATTGCCACACAGACACTGTGTAGCGTGAGTGTACACATGCACGCGCGCACACAGACATACACACACACACACACACACACACAAGTCAGGAATTGGGCGAGTCTACTACCACTCAACAGGGTGTATAATTTGATACATTATTATAAGAAAAAAATTAAAGCAACATCTTACTATGTACCCCTGCCTGATCTGGAACTCACTATGTAGGTTAGGGTGGCCTTGAACTCACAAAGGTAGAATCTGCTTGCCTCTGCCTCCTAAGTGCTGGGATTAAAGACATTTATCATCCCATCCAGCAAAGAAAAAAATAACATTTAAAATACAGATCTGAAAGAAAATACCTTCACTTGAAGAAATTAATTAACTATATAGAAAATCCATCACGATTATCAGATAACCTGAGACTTGATAAGGGCCCAGCAAGATTGCTGAATACGAAATCAATATCCAGAGCTTAAGAGTTCACATGCATGAGCTTCGGCCAATTATAAATGCATTGGAGAGAAGCCTGCTGTAAGAGCCGGCAGAGTTCAAAACATCACCCACCACCCTCCTGCAGCCTGGGAATCACCCTGGTTCGCTTCGTTTCTACTATCTCGTCCCCTCAAACTCACTCTCCGTCTACTGCCAGGCATGACGTGGCGGCACACGCATGTAATTCCAGCGTTTGAGAATTGGAGGCAGGAAGATCAGGAGCTTGGGGTCAGCCTCAGCTACGTAAGTGAGCTCTAGGCCAGTTAGGGATATGTGTGACCCGATCTTTAAAAAAAAAGAAAAGAAAATCTCCATTCAGTACTTAATACTCTTTTGTAAACATAAATTAAAGCGATTCACACTGTTCCTTTAACCTTTTAATAGCTACTCATTACGTATAATTAGAGCCCAGGTCTTTTAGCCTGTGCCCTGCACAACCTGGCCCCAGCATTCTCCAGCTCTCAGCACTGCCCACTCCCCCCACACTGGCCATATGACCCTCCCCACAGTTCCCAACACACACCCGAGTCTTTCCACCTCCCCACATGCTATCCCCTCTCCCCCAAATGCTTGTCTCCAATATCACCCCCATGTGCCCCTCATCTGCCTACTCTAAGTCCACTTCTTCCCCTCTTTATGTATTATACTGCTACACAGAACACTGTTCTTAATCATGAATTATTTATACAGTCTTGATTTCCCTCTAGCCCATAACTTCTATGAGGTAAAAAGTCTTATCTTTGACAGTTCCCAGAGCATTTGATACACAGCCCAGGAACTGTCTCATACCAAATGCTCAGTAATTATCGGTTGACTGACATCATCACTGAATGGCTGGGTGGTGGTGTGCTCATCAAAGGCCCACAGCAACACATTTGCAGGTCTCTGGCTTGTTTGAAGGAACGGAGGACCGCCCAGCAGCAGCGGCCTATCCACATGAGGAGTCCAAAAAGCCTTCCCAGGGAACCAACGAAGATTTAGGGGCTGGTTTAGGGAAAGCCGGAAGGAGGCTGGGAGCACCGAGCTGTGGCACCTATGACCCTTACTCCTTCTCTAATTCAAACCATGGTTTGCAAAGGAACTCTGCCACGCAGGACACTGTTCTGTAGTTTTCATGGCCTCTTAAGGGTTTGGAGGACAGCAGCTGCAAGATAGCTCAGGTAACTGGGCAGCTTGGTCTCCTAGCATCTAAGGAGTACGGTGATTCACAGAGTGGACAGAGACAGTGACTCCCCCAGGAACCCCAAGACTTGACCGCCTAGGCACTCAAACAAGGCTACTCCAGAGGTTCCCAGAGACGGCAATAACCCTGGGAGGGTTGGAAGGCTCGGCGAGGGTGCCCAGGGACAGCTAAAAGGGGCTGCCACACAGGCTCTCACGTCACCCCCGCCATGGCTACAGCCTTAATGACTTCAATTGCCATGAAAGCCCTCGCAGCCCTTGCCAAGAAGGTTCCCTGCCATCACACTCCGACCCACCAGTCTGGTGTCACTGAAGCCTAGAGGGCACACAGGGCCACCACGGCACTACCACCTGGTCATTAGTGAAAGTGTCTCCCTCCAGGCTTCCCAAAGCAGAGAGGACTCTTTCCAGGCCTCCCTCCGGGGCTCACAATGTTAACTCTTCAGCTGGAAATTAAGGAAGCAATGTTTCTGAGGCCACCTAATGCCAAAATAGTGGCTGCTGGCAATTCTAGTATCTCTGATTCACCCCTGATTCAGGCACATAATAGGTACCCCCTACTGGTTAAATGCTTGTGCGAGCCAAGTGAGGAGGAGTGTTATAACTGCCAGGGACCCACGAGAGGCAATCTTCCTGTTTGTTTCTTTTGAGCTCATACACTTGGACACCGCAGGATGTAACAAGGGACTGGCAAAATCCTGTTATCCCCTGCTAAAGAACAATTGCTGGAGGCCTGCTCAGCACCTACAGATAACACCACCACCACCACCACCACCACCACCCCTTTCCTTCCCCTGACCACTGCACCTCTCCTGCAGCCCCTGATCACCCGGACTGGCGGGAGTTCAAGCGCTCGGTGCAGAGTTATTGGCTACCGTGGCAACACCATCATGAACAACTGACCCCCCAGTAGAAGGGCCTGGGGAGAGAGCTTGGTGGGCAAGCTTAGACAAGCATTAGGACCTCAGCTTTATCCCCAGACACCCCTGTGAAAAAGTCAGGTATGGAGGCATGCATTTGTAATCCCAGCACTGGGAAAGCAGAGGCAGGAGGATCCCTGGGACTTGGCAGCCAGCCAGTCAAATCTAATTGGTGTATACTAGGCCCTTGGGAAACCTTGTCTCAAGAAAACATGGGGGGATGTCTCAGTGGACAAAAGTTCTTGCCACAAAAGCTTCACAATCTTAGTTTAATTCCCACAAATCATGGTGGAAGGTGAAAATCTTCAACACTGGCACCACCACTTCCCCAGCCCCCAACACACTTTTTTTTTCTTTAATTAAAAAAAAAAAGGAGAAAAACTAAAATCGACCTCTGGCCTCCAAAAGAAGCACACACACACACACACACACACACACGCACGCACCCCCGGGAAGGCAGCATATGCAAGGATAGTAGACTAGCAAAGACGTTGCCCTTTACACAGGCCTGGCTCCCCTTCATCTCCAAACCCCAAGGACACCTGAGAGACCCACACTGTGACCTACCTTTTGTCCTCTTCCACCTGAACGCCAATGGAGTGGAACTCTCTTCGGCTCCTGTTCTCGGTGTCCGAGTCTGAGATTGTCTCCACCTGGAGGCAGGATGGAGGCGTCATTGGCTGTGGCTAGCCAAGGAAACACTGGGCTCCCAGAGGACTAGAATGGCCAGGAGTGGCTATGCGCCAAGCTGACTGGTAAGTCCCAAATGAAAGAGAGTACAAGTAGCAAGATGGAAGGCACTGGGTGCCGCTCAGTGCGCAACACTCACCAAGAACACGGTACCAGGGAAACGGAGATGGGCTGTTTGGAGGCAGGCTCATTCATCAATGACCAAGATGGGTCTACTTGCAGCTCAGGGCAAGTTGTTGGTTGGTTTGTTTGTTTGTTTAAAGGTCTGTATATGCAGAAATCCCTTTCGATCTCCGTCCATTTGTTCCCAACTACATAGGGTCAGAGCCTTGGATAGTTATTACTGCCAACCATACCTGCACCCCAATGGACGGCCGCCACTTCCGCTGCCGCGCCAGGCTCCTCAGCTCCTCCCGGCCGGGGATAGTCTTGATGATGAGTGTGGGGGGCTTGGGGCTGGCCCGGGGTGGCACCGGCGCCAACTCGAGGGTGCGTGCGCCCATGGCCGGGCCATCCAGCCCGTCCGCGGAGCTACAGCGCCGGGCTGGGCCCTCTGCTGCAGTGAAGCTCTCATGGGCAGAGTCAGTGCTGCTCTGGGCGGTGATGGAGATGCGGGGTGGGGCCTGGCTTCCCGTCGGGATGGGGGGCGGGGCCTTTCTGAAGTTGAAGGCTGCAAACAGGAACGCAGGATGCAGGATGGAGATGGTGGCCCAGCATCCCCAGACAGCCGCACCCACGTGGTACAGAGGACCTTACAGCCAACGACCACTTCCGGCCTAATCCTACCCAGAGAGAAGCGATTTACGCAATTGGCATCCAGGGACAGACAGAGAGCATACTTACAGGAGCCGGGCCTCCCTGAGACAGAGGCAGGGGCAGCAAGGAGGGGTAGGCAGTCGTCGTCTTGAGAGCAGCCGGCCTGGATGGCCCGGAGGTAGCTGTGGCTCCGCATGCGGAAACAGCCGGGCAGGTCCAGGGCGTCCACGGCCTGGGACTCAAGCTCCCCAAACACGGACCCGCACACGGCCTCCAGCTGCTGGTTGAACTCCTCGCTGAGCTGGGAGAGGACCAGGGGGACCTTTATTGAGATGCTGGGCTACAGTGGTATCAACTAGGACCTTTGTTTTGGAGAACACTTAGGTCACAGAGGCCGTGGCTCTGTGCGACTCTCTTCCATTAGGGGGCAGAAGGTTTCCCAAGCCTACCTTGGGGCCACCCTGGTCCATTCTTCCTCTGAACACACAAACTCTGACCTACGCCTCCCTTCAGGAATGCTGCACAGGCCTCCACATTTGCCCCTCCACCTAGTCCCATCCCTCACCTTTCCCTCACTTGACCCAGTCAGAGTGAACCAGGAACTAATATTCGCCCTCCTGGACAGCTTCTGGGTACAGAGCAGTCTTCTGGAGAAAACATGTTTTATTATGGTTTTGTTTTAGCTTAGTTTGTTTGTTGCTCAAGCTCACGGTCACCCAGGCTGGCATCAGAACTCAGAGCAATCCTCCTGCTTTAGTATCCCCAGTGTTGGGATCATATGTGTTCATCACCATTCTTGGCTATGAACTGATTAAAAGCAACAGTGGAGACCTTTGCCAAAAGGCAGGTTGGGACCTGATGGGTAACGGAGCAAAGTTACCAACCTACAAGTGTCCCAAGCCTCTCCCGGCTATACACAGCTACTAACTAGGACTCTCGTTGAACCCTCTGGCCACTGCCCTGTCCTCACTTTCATGGATACGTCTATAGTACAGCACAGATACAAAGCCCAAGCACCACTCTGCATGGATATGAACTTGACTGTGGGCTTCCACTCAGCCAAAGCATAAAGATTCCTGCATGGGCCATGGTGTGGATTCAAGATCTGCCACTTCCTAGAAGTGTGGCCTGGACATATGAAAATCTGGGGGCTTCAGTTTGCTCCTCTATATAATGGGAGTGCTAATGGCACTGGCTGAGGGCTACAGAGAGGGCTGACATAGACACATAAGACATCTGGAGCAGATACTGGCACAGAGTGAGCCCTCGGTGGCATGCAGATATGCCAGGACTACCCGGTCAGCACAGGCCAGCTGCTCCTAAGAACTACAACGCTGCCATTACCGAGTCCAAGAGCAAAGCCCCTGCTGATGTTGTGCAGAGGCCACTGGACGGATGAGGTTCTCAAAAACATCCCAGGGGGACTGTAACAGCAAGTGCATTTTGTGACATCTCCCCGGAAAGATTCAGGTCACCACAGTGATCTGCAGTCACAAACCTGAAAGAGTAGCACGGTCCCTGGGTAAAAGTACAGCTCAGTATTTCCCTAACCTGGCCTCCTCAGTGACGAGAGATTTCCCTAGACACTCTGCCCTGACTACAGCAGGCATCTCCAGCACCATCTACCAACAGGCAGATGAAGGCTCATCTGGCCCAAGGATGCCAATCTGGCAAGTAGTAAAACTGAACTGCAACCTTACTTCTTGGGTTCTCTGCAAAGCTGGTTGGTCATCAGAATCTCCTGGATTGTGGAACCTGCCCTCAAGCTAGAGGTGCCACTCTCTACTTCTGCTGCCTGGATATTTAAAACCAAACCTGCTGGCTTAGAACTACACTCGGTGGCACTCGTGTAGACCCAAGGAACGACACAGAACTATTTGGACTTCTTCCTGTGACCTTCCCAAAGCAACTTCATTACCAGCATGCAGAAGTCCAAACACTACAGGTTCTAGATCCTGTGGCAACTGTGCAGGTTCTAGATCCTGTAGCAGGTACATTCTCAGCAGCGACTCTCCCATGATTCCTGTACCTGGCTCAGTCCTCCTTTCAAAAACATCAAGGGCAGCTGGTGCCAGAGTCCCTCCGGAAACGCAGGAGCGACACCAACTGCTATTCCTGGGCTTGAGGCACTGCCCACTGAAACTATTCAGCCCCAAGAGTTCTGCCTAGAGCACAGGGGAGCTGAGCTAACCCTGGCATTCTGGGTATTCTGGGCTTGAGTTGTTGGGGCCTCCTAGATGGAAGGAATCTCTGAAACTCCAAGTCCTGCATTTACCTCCAATCCTCTTCTGTGCAAAGCACGAGGCACACAGTAGATGCTCAATAAACACTGGCTACTATTATGAGCAGCAGCAAGAGTGTCTTGGGTCATATTGATAAGACCACTCAGTACGAGAGGCTTCTCTGTCCTAGGGGTTGCAAGGCCCTTCAAATCCCACCCACTGATAAATCTAGTCTGAGTGAACTCCACCCAAAACAGATAGAGGAAGAACAAGCAGTTCTCATCTTCCAATAGGACTGGCCAAGAGGTGACTCGGTCCCAACAAAGACAAGGGAACCACAGGCACATATAGACTCCGAGGAACACGGTACACGAGCTGACCTATACCATTTATGATTATGAAATGATAACATTCTCTGTGAATACTGCTGTTACCCCTACATGGACTTCCACTCGACTTCTCCCAGAACCCACTTGCAGGAGAGTTAAAGGAGTCCTCTTGGGAAATGAGATCCTGAGTCTGACTTCAGCCTGAGTCAGCCTCACCAGCTGTTTCTAAGCATGCGAGACACAGAGAAGAAAATACTCGGGTTGGATCTAATTGGAAATTAAGCATGCTGGAGTTGGTGGGTCCAGCTGGGGGCCAGGCAATATCCTGGACACCTGAAGAAGGTTACTCGCTTCGGCTCACCTTGGGAAAGGCCTCCACTTCAAAGCGGTTCGCGACACTGGGTGAAACATAGCGTTGTTTTATATGCATAGCTGAGCTCACAAGAAAGCGAGATCAGTCCCCAGGGGACGAATGCAAAGAGGAGCCTGGAAAATCAGAATATGAACTGTGTGTGCCAATGCTGCAAACAGCCTGGTGGAGGCGGAAGGTTGGGGGCAGGGGCTACCGGTCTCAGCACAGAGGTCTAAGTTTTAACACCCACTCTGGTGCCAGAGTGAGACTTGGGGCCCGTGTGAAGCCCAAATGAGAAGCAGAAATGAGAACCTTCATAAACCTTTGATGATAATGTAGACGAGGGGAAAACACGCTATCAATCATCACCAGAGCCCGCGACAGGGAAGCCAGTCTGCAGCTGAGACACCAGGGAAGGGAAAGGAGGCAAATCCTCTAAGAAGCTGTGCACACAAACCGGTCTTCCCATAGACTCAGGACCGCATGTGCATGGGCTTGCATGGCCCAGATTAAAAATGAACACCGGGCGCTCTTAGATCAGGACTATTCCAACAGAAACAGCCACAGAATGTATCCCAGGAGATCAGGCCTCACAGAAGCTGCTCTGGCCTTACCAAGAAGAAGCCACATTGAAGACGAGGTATCTTTGTCTACATGTGCGATATCTCTGATAGAACCCTTCAGGGCACACACTGTACCCAGTATTAAACTATATTTAAAGGTTTCTAATTTAAATGATAAAACTGGATACGCATGGTGGCGAATGCTTATAGTCCCAGCATCTCAGAGGTGGAGGCCAGAGGATCAAGAGTTCAAGGTCATCCTCCACTACAGTTCCTTTCTATACCAGCCTGAGACCCTGTCACATAAAAAACAAATAAACAATAACAAAACCCCTGCAAATTAAAAATATAAGCAAGAACAAAAAACTGGGGGAGTTCATAATAAAGATTTGAAAAGAACTCCAAGAAATTTCTTAAAAAAAAAAATACAAGCCGGGCGATGGTGGCGCACGCCTTTAATCCCAGCACTCGGGAGGCAGAGGCAGGCGGATCTCTGTGAGTTCGAGACCAGCCTGGTCTACAGAGCTAGTTCCAGGACAGGCTCCAAAGCCACAGAGAAACCCTGTCTCGAAAAACCAAAACCAAAACAAACAAACAAACAAAAAAAAATACAACTCAGTGAGCCAGGTGGTGGTAGCACACACCTTTAATCCCAGCACTCGGGAGGCAGAAGCAGGTGGATCTCTGTGAGTTCCAGGCCAGCCTGGTCTACAAGAGCTAGTTCCTGAACAGACTCCAAAGCTACAGAAACCCTGTCTCGAAAAACCAAAACAAAACAATCTCAGTGAAATTTAAAGCACAATTTATAAGTTAACAATAGAGGACATTTTAATAAAGAGATAATACCAAGCAGAGGGGGGTAACATGAATGAAAGGTTGAGACACATGGAGGGAACGCCCCGGACACAACTAACGGGAGCTCCAGATAGAGACACTGGGACACGGGTAGGGAAGGCAATGTTTTAAGAGACGACACTGACTAGGATTTCCCTAGACTTCCTCATGACTTCAGACAAAAAAGAATGAGAACAACAAATCCTACTCCCCAGACAGCTCTAAAGATGGACATAGCTGTCAGAAACAACTATTTTGTCACTCTGAGGACAGACCAAAGGCACACAAGAGGGTATGTACGTGTCGTGAAAATCACCAAGCTTTGGGTGAGAAGGCAGGACTCCGGTCCTGTGCCCATGCCCCAAGGCCCCAGCTCTCAGGGACGCTGCACTCCAGACACTGTGCTACAGGCAATCAAAACAGCTGTTGTGTTCCCATGGCCAGAGGCCCCTGAACTGAGCACTATCAGGAACAGTGAGTAGAGCAGAAAGGCCAGCAGCAATGCTAGGCTCTGGGGCTAGCAACAGACTGAACGGCTAGACGGCTTAAATTTTTTTCTATTGGTGTTGTATGTACATAATGTGTATGCACATTTGTGCTGTGGCACGGGTGTGGGGATCAAAGGACAACCGTGCCCTGTCTCTATGCTTGCACTTCAAGCACCGTTTGAGGCATCTCACTGGTCCTGGTCTGATCTCTTAAAGAGAATTCTGGGAATTCAGCAGAGAATGGTCTGAGAACCTGTACACCGTCCCCGCCATGTCCCTCAGCAGTGGAACGTGTGCACACGTGCAGGAAACACAAGAGCCCCTGGTGATGAATGAAAGCCAGAAAAGGCTTAAAAACAAACACAGGCTGAAAGAGGAAACCTCACTGGCTCAAGGGTTTTGAGGACAACTTCTACCCAATGTTTGGCCAAAACGAGGCTATGCAGCAGACACTGGAGCCATCTCTAGGAAACAAGACTTAAAAAGCAAAAGCAAAAAAAAAAAAAAAAAAAA